TGAAATTTCATAGTTCGTACATTTAGTTTGTATTCTCCTTAGATTCCAATGAACCAATCACCGACACTGCTTTGCTCAGGCAAAATAGGAAGCTGACGGCTACCTCATTGCCTTGTTCTGTAAAAACTCATGATGATGATGATGATGAATCGGTGAATCGCCGAATCAATCGGCGCAGATGGGGCCGCAGACACCGGCAGAAAATGGCATTGCTGTGGTGCCGACTGCAGTTCTATTTGACACTGATTGACGCCTTCACTTTTATGCCATCGCAATCTGCATGATTGCCTCATTTTATTTCGAAATGGAGCTCCATTTGGCATCGCAAATTTTTAAAAATGTTGGTTCCTGACAGTGAATGGCGAAGAATGTCCCCTGAGAGCGGATGCGATTGGCGAATTATGCTCGCGGTGGGCGGATGTCCACCCATGAAACCGTGCAGCACACTTCCAGTGCAAGGAAAATGCATTGCGCAGGACATTTCCGGACTTGAATCAGCCAATCAACCAATCTCAGTTCAGTAAACAATTCGCCCGCCTATTCAATCCGCAGTTCAACAGTACAATTAGCAGAGGAACGGACCCAGGCGAGATAAATTTCTGTGATAACGTTAAGAGCGGGAACATAAGCAGTTGTGCGTGCACTCAGCCCGCATTCCGTCATCATAGTCGGATCACTGGTCCGGCAAATCCGAGCAAAGGGACACCATTTTTTAGTGTATTGATCCGATGTAACATCGGACCAACATGTACAACGTGCGACGCGTTATTCTTTGGACAGTTCAAAAACAACGCATGAAGCGGAATAACCCAAACGAACAGGTCAGATGAAGCAGCGACTGCTTTCTTCATCGGCAGATGAACTGCTTCATCAGCCGGCCTGAATCAGTCAAATTTCGGGCTCATTTTTAATGTTTGCCCTTGTTTACGGAAGAAGGGAGAAATATTGAGAAAAGAAACAGGAATGTTGTCTTTTCTTAATCATTTCTTCCCGTGTCGCATGTGTTGAACGGCTGGTAGCGCTTGCATAGGTGCGGCTTTGGCTTCTGTCGCAGCTTAGTATGTGTGCTTGACACACCCAATATGGTGGGTCTAGTAACGGCAACCCAAGCAGCTTCAGCAGCAGCCACAATACCACCACCTACTATGCGCATTTCTACACTAGTGGCACGGTTGCATATGATGCGTTGTTCCAGCCTGTCCTTCCAACCTGCTGCAGAGTGGATCATGGCGCCTTCGCATTGTCTGCCTGGTGACAGCCCTGCTTGGGTGCATACTTCGACACAGTTCGTAAGGATTGGGTACAGCACGGACAGTACATTTTGGAGCAGCCGCTCCTCCCAAATATCGTACCACGAGATCTAGGTGTGCCGTCCTGTACAGTGCCACTCTAGCTCTTTAAAATTTGCCGAGGGTGGCTGGATCTCCAACCAACTCCACAATTCTGTAATGTCTTGCATTAAATGCAAATTGTTTTCCGGATAGTTCAAATTTTGAACTGTCTACAAGTTTTGACAGGACACAAATGTCGGCATTCCTGCACGTCTTGTCCATATTCTTTTCTGTACCGCATCGCCTTCTGCAGCCATAGTCATGCCACAGCTCCCTTGCACGTGCATGGTAGCCCAATGACGGCAAGATAATGTCCAGCTGCGACAAGCTGACCCAGACCAGGGCAGAAAGGTGGGCGGGGGAAGGGTGGGGAGGGGGAAGGGAAGGTCAAAGGCAGAATGCGACATGCTTCTGTGGCAGAAGCGTCCACCTCCACCACGCATGGTGCCATCATGGATCGAGTTGTGCGTTTATGGAGCCGGTCTGAGGATTACGACTTGGCTGGGTGCATTGGACTGTTGCTGGCTCTGCCGAGGTCTGCCGACCAAATCCGAGGGTTTGACACAGGAGCCAATGACTTAAGCACAGGCGCTGGAGACTGTGAGGGCAGCAGATGGCGTTGGCGACTGCACCCAAGCAGAAGCCTATGGATTTTCTCATGCTTTTGCGGACTGCAAAATTTGGCTGCTGCTTGTCCAGTATGCATATGTGCTTCCGACATTTTGCGAGACATGCCACTGGTATGTTGAAAGACACGACGAAGGCACCTGCAGTATGATTGGAACTCCAGAGCTGCGGCACTTACTCCGCATGTTCACGACATGAGCTAAGCCGTCCACACGATCATTGGCACATCAGAGCTGCGGCATTTGCCCGCACGTAAATCACGTCAACTGAGTCATCTGCAGCATCGCCTGCACGCCAGAACGACGGCGTTGCACAGCATTGCAGTAGATCAACCGAATCGCGTACCCCTCAATTCAGTCCCGATTTTGAGGCAGACAAACCGTCGCACTGTCCATTGCCAGGACAAGCTCTGAGCATATTCCCAAATCCTAACCCGTGTACAAGCCCTGCACTCAGCCGGGTCATCTCGCTTCCACGGCAGCTGGCAAAGATGTTCGCAGTGTGCCTTGCGAGTCGACCTCCTCAATGAACATTAACCCACAGCTCTCACTTTGCCTCGTTGGCTAGACGAAGTCAAAATATGTCCGTTGTCGCATGTGGGCGAATCGAGCCTTGCACCTAAAGAATCGGGCGGCCAGAAATCCCAACCTCTCCACTATCCCCACATACCCCGCAGAGAGCCTCTTGCAGAAGCCCTTGCAGCTCTCGCGGCATCCAAAAAAATCAAGAATGAAACAATGGCAATCACACAGCAAAACGGCAGCCCGGAAGTCGCTCGCGGGGTGCAAGTGGCCCCCCGCGCCAGGAAAGGCCACGGCGCTCGATATTTTCTACCAAAACGGCGACACGACTGCTTCACAACAAACCATAACTGGGGCGAGGCATGCCGATCACGGGCTCCAAAATCCTCCCAGCGACCCAGCCCAAGCCCGCCGCACCCCAAGTGCCCCAAGGACCCCGCCGCCGCAGCGCCGAAACCGGCTCTGTCCAAAACAAAACGAGGCAGAAACGCAGCAGGGCAAGAGCTTAGGTCGGGCTGGCGACAACCCCCTCCCCTGGCATCCCCTCCCCACCGCTCCCTCACTTCCTGTACGCCTGGACCAACTTCCTCAGCCTGTCCACCTTGGCCCCCTTCAGCTCATCGACCTTGACACTGGAGCGGTACAGCACAAACGTGGGCGCCACGCGGATGCCCAGCTCGTCGGCTATCGCCTTGTTCTCCGGCGTGACCCTGTACTTCGCGAACCGCACGTCGCTGTAGTAGGCGGCCATCTTCGCAAGCTCCGGCAGGACGAGCTTGCAGGGGCCGCACCAGTCGGTGTAGAAATCCACTACCACCAGCGCGTCGCCCTGGCACACCATCGAACTGAGTCGCCTTGCGGTTTCGCCCCTGTCCGTTCTTTTAGCTCCCTGCCATTGTTCCCCAACATGGTGGAACAGCGGGCATACGGCTTGATCAACTACGTGACGACATCGGACCCCTGGCAAGCCGGCGAGCTGTTCATTGACCAGGCTCATCCGAAGCGAGGTCAACGTGCCGCCAGGCGATCCCGCCCTCCAGACGATGTCGCAAGCAGCGCACGAGAGCTGTAACACTTTGCTCAAACTTGCCTTGGACAAGATAACGCTGTGCCTTTTCACCTTGAAGATGACGACCGTCGCGCAAACGTCTAGGAGCGTCCAGCGCACAAACAAGAGTCTCGCCTGCCAACGAGCCCGCCTGCTATCACCCACCTGGGACGCAATGAAGTCGTGGTAGTTGTCCTGGTCCAGCAGCTCTAGGTCCTCCGACGACCCGGCCTCCGCCGCCCTGGCGTCCCTCCCGGCCTCCAGCGGCCTCTTGCCCTGCACGCCCCTCAAAAATGCGCCGCGAGGCGCCGCATGCCTCAGCGCCGCACGGCCCCCAGACGGGTGGCCGCCGGCACAGGCGCGACCAGCCGCGCGGTGGATGAATTTGCCCCGGCCTGCAAAGGACCTCGCAGCCCTGTCCATGGGTTGGTCCTTCGGGGGCAGGCCGCCCGTTGGGTGGGAGGGTGGCGCCTAAGTTTTGAGCAGGCCATTTCGCAAAACGGGACAAAACGGGGAGCTGGGGTTGGTCGGTCGGGGCCAGGCGGGGCGGAGACGCTGGGCTGGGAACGTGCGGACAGCCTCGCTCCAGGGGCCGGGATATGGAGGGGCCTTTCGATGGTGACCAAGCGTTGGGATGACGTGCGGTGCGAAGGCTGGGTCGTCACAGGCGTCAGAAAGGCGTGACAAAGCACGTCGCCCGTTGGGGGAGTGTATTAGTCCATCTGTCCTTTCCGTGGGGATCCCTTCTTCTTCCGCTGACAAGGCCAACGTGGGTGGGCGGGTCAATGGTCAGGGTGTCGAAACAACTATGGGATCTTCACGGAAAAGGCAAACGACTAAATTTGAGCCACCACTTGGTGGCTGGGAAGCGAGGGCGTACCCCGCCATTTTGCCGAAACGCCAGTTTTCGTTTTCCATCTTGGTTTTCCAATCTTGTCCTTGACAGCAGTTCGGAGGTGGGTGTGAACCAAAAGTGTACTTGGTGAGCAACTGAGGCCCAACGGACGCCGGGGCTTGGTATCGTATGAGGCGTGCATGGGTTGCGACGTAGTAAATATAGTTGTATTCGGATTGAAGCCGTGTGAGAGGGGAATCTGGTATGGCCAACTTCAATCGACCCCGCGCCGCGGTTATATCGCATTTTTCAAATGCCAGTCGCCGAAGACCGCCGATTGCTTCCTGTCACGTTTAGAAACCGTCGCACCTCCGCAGCGGTCATGTTGCAGGTGCACAGGCAGCCCAGCATTCATGCGTCGCACGCGACATCCAAGAACAACAAGAAATCGTACATAAAAAGAATTATGAAATTATAAAAAGAATTATAAAATTGCGCAGCAACAGACAAGGTCAAACATCACAACACCTTTGTCTGTGCGCATCTGTGGGGAAACTTTTCCAGATCAATGAAATATCTGTGAATGCGTGCGCGAATATGTGCGATTGCATGCCCGCCTTGAGATCGCCGGTGGTCAATCAAGCCTGCCACCCAAAAGTTTGCAACAAGAATAGAGCCACCCCGTTGGTCCAACCAAAGCCAACCTGGGGCGTGTATTCCCCCCCGGCCCCAGCACGGCCAATCTCCCTTACGTCATACTTTTCGTGCATGTGACCGGTCTTCTGGAACGTCTCAAAATTTGTGGCCAGCCAGGCCCTGGCAAGGGATTGGGCAAGGTCCATGCCCTTGGGCCCCGCGCCCATTAGGCCCTCGATTAGCATGCATTGCAGGGGGGGCCAGCCGTTTGGAAAGTCCCACTGCTGGCCAGACTCCACCAACGAAGTTGCAATGCCTGCAGGTGGAAACACAGCAAATTTGTGCTCACTCGTATTCCTCACACCACTTGATGTGCTGTTGGTGGTCGGTGCACACTGGCCGAGAATCTAAGCAGCAGAATAACCACCGGATGTGTAAAGATTATGCAGTGACTTCTGTGGCAATCCACCTGCATGTCTTTTTGCCGGCTTCAAGCCAGTGCAGATTCCAATTTTCCTGCTTCGAATCGTCTTTTACTTCAACACTTAAGCATGGCAAGCTACAAGCTCCTCAATGGCTGCCGCATGGGGTCTCCGATGTATCCTTATCGTCGCCACACGTTGTGTCGGGGTGCTTGCCATAGCTGCAATTTAAGACACCGATAATCATGAAATGCTTTGCCACAGCTGACCCTTTGTTACAAGACAGATGTGAATGCCATGATTTCAGTGCTGCGCTAATTTGCTGCAGACTCTGCTGCATCTACATGAATTGCCACAAATAGTTGACTGACATTGCAGAAATTCAGCGAGCTTGCAATCCAAAATTGCTTGCCACAGCTCAGTGCAGCACAAATAGGTGGCAGGCTCTGTTGTATCCGTTTGCACTGCCACAACACCCACAGCAGGACCAATCGCACGACTGCCAATGGCAGAAGCTGCACATGGTCCATCCCTCTGTCTGCTGTGCCATTCCGTCATTTCTCACCTGCAGAACATATCAGACCAGATCTCCGGCAGCTCTCCACCACCTCCTCAGCATCTGTGCCATTCGCAGGTTGCAACCCACACCAAAGCGGCAGCCAGTTCGAGGCATAGGTCCCGCTCGATTGGGAGCCGTCCCAGACGATCTCTTTCACAGCATCGCACTCACAGTGCGTCTCTGTTTCCAGCAGGAAGTCTTTCCACTGATGCGAGTTTCCATTCCACAAAACATCGTCCATCGCTGCTTGCCGAGCTCTGGCCAGGGCCTGGAACGCTTTGCAAGTTGCGTTATCATTCAAGGCAGCAGCGAACCGAGCGATGTTTGTCTCCATTTGAAACAGAAAGCCGTTCAAATCGGCTGGGACGACCTGGAGCCACAGAAAGCATAAAACGCTGGTTGTGGCCTGTGTGCAAAATTACTAGCCTTGGGCCTGATCGTCGATGCCACTATTTACATTCTTGTAGGTTTGAAATGCAGAGGAGTACAGGTTCGGACATAGTCGCAACCACTACATGGTAAAGCATCTTTCTGAGCAAAATTTATGCAACAATTGAGAATCCAGCTTAGGTAACATTCTAGAGCAGTGCACTCGTTGCTGCTATTCAGGCAATATAACAATCACAGTGAGCACAAGTGTTCTCTCCTCATCAACTGCTGCAGTACCATCATTATTTCCACAGCCCAGAACACCGACAACCAAAGTAGCCTGGTCCACCAGAGTATCCTGAAGCAACCTCCCTGTTGGAATCAAAGATGAGCAAAGCCAAATGAGGCCTGCCAGACCTGTAGGTGGGGCGTTCAAGAAGCGGAGTGTGAGTGAGGACTGGGCATTCCCATTGTTACTTACACTGGTGGTGCGAATGGTATGCAGGGAACAGGGAGATTGAAGCCAGCGAGATGAAAAGTCCCAGCCAGATTCGGCAGCGCTTGCCAGGTCGCGATATACTGCTTCTGGCTGTCTTGCTGTGGCCAGCGATGCTGTAACAACATCTGCTCTGTTTAAAGAAAGGGGAATGCACAAGAAGTGTCAAACACTACAATACATTGACAATGGCATTGGGGGGACAGTCACACAATAACAGCACAAGTAAATGCATTCATCAGAAGAATCATTGGACACAGAGGACAGTTTCTTGACATCCACTGATCCACAGCACAGCTGAGCACATGAAAGCAGTATCCAACGTATTCATCCTGCCCCCACTTGCCCCCAATTTGCAAGGCACAAGTCGTGTTGGGATGGTAGCCATGGCCAAGGCACAATGATTGAAACGATTCACCACCCTCACCCATATGACTCTGGCCGTGGCAAGGTCCAGTCCGCATGATAACGTGAGAGGTTATGAACCTGTCCAGACAGCCCCTTGACTCTCACACAATGTGGGTGCACCATCCAGTAGGAGTGCTCCCGCACCAGGAGAGGAGTTGCGTAGGCCAGGAACTCTACACATCCCGTTGCTTGCCATATGAGGTCGACCATGGCACTAAGCAAGGGTGGTTGACTGGAATCACAACGAGACAATGTGTCAGGTGAATAGCCACACTCTGCAAATCGTGGTAACTAAAGACTTCCATATATGAACCATGGCGTCGCCTTCATCCTTGAGCTGCTTGTTTGTGGAGACCACAATGCATATCACAGAAAGGGCCTTATTTGGTGCCACCATTGCAAGGCGGCTGGGAAGCTTTCCCACAGAGCAATTGACGAATTACAGTCGTATTGTCCCTCCAGGACACTGTTGAAACTGGACATTGGAATGTCTGTGCCCGCAGGCTGCGTCACCTCCGATTCAAGTAGTAAACCCTGTTGCCATTGGGCACGTGGCCATGCTGATCCAGCAGGTACAGGAGGTTCTCAACTTGGAGGGAAGCTGTGCGGTGCATTCCACACACCAGAAGCCCCTTCACGGTCCAGTAGCTGTCCCAGTAGTACATCTCACGAAACCTGCCACCCGCCACAAGTATAGGGTGTGGGACGGGCAGGAGCGAGTGGCGATCAGGGTTTGCAGGACTGGGGTTGGCCTACATCAGAGCAGCAATGGCCAATACTGGTTTGATTCCTGGGTATGTGTGGTAGGGGACAATCTGCATCCCAGGTTGTGGTTCGAATAATTGGATCCCTCCAATTGTCAATTTGCATGACACTGTTTTATCAGGAAGCACACCATAGTTGTGGAATGATAGAATGCACTCGATTAAACGCCCATAATGCATGTTGATGTCCATGGCAAGCTGGCAGCCTCGATCTTCTGTGGATGATTCATCGATTCACAGAGTCCTTTGTGCAAGTATCCCACTTGTCTTCCATGAGCAATGTTCACCTTTTTGTACAAGCATTTCCACAATTCGTTGAGTTGCTTTGCCCAGTCACGCATCGGCCCCGTTGCTGGAACAGATTGCAGCCATTCAGTTCCCTTCTCGCTCCAATCTTGTGGGACAAGTTCCTCCAGGTCACTGCCAATGCGGTACAGTCAGTATTGTGAAGTAGCCCACCAAAACTGGCAACAGGTAATCAAAGCCACAGTTACTTTTTTAATAATAGGGACATATCATACTCGTAAGCCGTGAAAGAAGAAGCAGCAGTGGATCTATCACTGACTGTGATGGGAGTGCTGTCTGCAGTTTGGATCACAAAGTCCGAGGGCGATTGGAAGAGCAAGGAATCAAACGGAAGAATTCGTCCTGCCTCGCATCGCTGATTGCGATGCGAGTGCTGTCTGCAGTTCGGATCCAAGAGTCGGAGGGCAGAGTCAAGGGCAGGAAGCCAACTGCAGGAATATCTCCTGCCTTGCAACACTGATCGCGATGGGATTGCTGTCTGCAGTTTGGATCGTAAAGTCAGCAATCAATTGCAAGAATTTGTCCTGCCTCGCTGCACATCCGTTGCCTTACCTGCCCTCCAACGCGAAGTGTTCTTCAACGAACGACATCAGCATTGCGCCATCCATTTTGCCATCAGGACCTCTGGGGACCGCCTCAAAGGAGGTTGTGACGACTGGGGGGCTTGCAAGGAGGGGCCTGTCCCTGCGAAGATAAGAAACAGGCATTGGCGCCCACAATAGTCGAAGGCAATTGACACGACACATTCGCCTCCCATGCACTCTGCTGAAGGAACATCAGCGTCTTTCGTCAGGCGGACAACATCCGAATAGGGCAGTAACTCCAACCCAAACTCACACGATAGCCTTTGGGTCTTCGAACAAATTGGCGTCTCGGAGCGCTGCGAACAGTCGGCCACACGACCACATCCCGTGGCAGCCCCCGATGTGGTCCGTCGTTGCCTTTCGAGCTGGGGGCGGGCCCATTGCTTCATTGGGGGGGCTGCCGGCCGTCAGCATGTCCAACTGGGAATGAACTGCAATTGATGTGCATTCATTTCAAATGCAGAGAAAGCAGTTGCTTGTGCTAAAAATGCGTGCGTAAGCGTAGATAAATGCCTGGTAAGGGCAATTGGCAAGGGTGTCTAGCAACGGGTGTTCTATTGCCGCAGCGAAACATACAAACAGATCTTGCCTTGGCCTTTTCCTCTTCATTGCAGGAGTTTCTACTTGAAATGATGTTGCGACATCGCCAAGCGCCAGTAGCATGACAAAAGAAGCAACGATCAGCAAGAATTGTCGTCTTTGGGGCGCAATGCGGATAGGTTAAATTGGGAATACTGAATGTAGCAATGTTGATGCTAAAGCTGGTCCACAACTATGGGAAAGCCTGGAACGTATGGTTCCAGAGAAGGCAATGACACCCACATTATGCCATCTCGTTTGCTTCAACGCGGAAAATCGCTGCGAGCGATTCTTGGTGTCACTGAGGTGTTGAACTGAGCAAGGATTCAGGCCGTTCCTTTGGCAATGTGCATCGTTTGGTGCTCAACATCCAGCAATTTGTTAGCTTGGCAAATCGCGCGTCACAGCGTGCAAGAAACGGCGTCACTTGGCCCACTGCAACTAAATGCGCTGCGCTTAGTTGCTGCCAATATGCGCCTGCACGTGCTGCCACTCCAACACTCTCCATCAGGGGGTTAATATCTCCATTTCTGTTCTGATCTTTCTTGAGAAAATCTCAAGCATGCAACAGCTGAGCAACTGCTTATTCTTGCGGCAGTGATCCAGAACCTTTGGCTTATGCAAAATTGCCAGAAAACGCTTTTTCGCGACGTTGCCCATAGCTGAAATTGTGACGGTGGAGCCCTTTGGTACTATGGATCGAGCGCCAGCCGGCGCTCACTGCCAACCATGTGTATGAACAATGAACGCGGAAGTGGGTCGGTGTCACGTGTCAAGACACCTCCCTGGATTCACGGCGGCAAGCTCAATGGTCACGTTCTATTAATACATTCCAAGCCATATCTCAGTGCCCTATAGCCACCTAAAATTAACTCACTTCAAGCCGCTCACAAGTTTAAATGTCCTGAACTGCTCTAGGGAACACAAATGTATGTCGCAAGCACACTAGCATGCCAGTGCATTTATGATGTACGTTTGCACAAGGTGAGTCATATTGGGGAGAATTGGTGTCACTGCCGTGATTCCGCCTGCCAATAGGAGGCGCCACGTGCAGCGCTCGATTGCCGTGTGGTTGTGGGTGCACTGAACTATTGTGGGGCACATACTAAATGCCACTGACGTCCACATCCAGCATACACCAACGAACCCAAATGCAGGCTTGGTCTTTTCAGCGCAATCACTGAGTGAATATGCGCATTTACGCGTATTTATGCGCAAAAATAGTTTCCACCTTTTTTTGTTTAAAAACTCATAAAATGTGTAAATATTGGACCTGTGGATATATAGTTAGTACATCAGACTCAGATAGTCCGGGGAGTGGCAGCCAGTCGCGCTAGAATGAGCAGGGAACGACCGTATTTTAAGTTGTAAATTATTTATTTTTTTGACGACGTCGTTGCCATTTCCGACGGTGAAGTGGGTTTTCGCAAGGTCTTTTGGACGAGGACACAGATGAGCGTTCCAACCGCATTAATGAAATGACGGGCCGCGCCCAGATTGCCTTACCCTCGCAGAGCACGGTCCCACACACCTTCTCGCCTCCACCGATGGCGAGCGCCTGCGTCCCCGAAGCCACCGGCTCCCCGGACGCCTTTCCCGGCCTCGAGGCCGAGTCCCTATGGGGCAGCGAGGTACGCCTTCATCCCCTGCCTTCCCAACCGCGCGTTGTCAGCCGATTGCGAACTGCCTGCGGACAGGACGTTGACCGCTCGTGCCCCTCCCACGCAGTTTCCCTCCGACCTGCTCCCCCTCGCCGAAGAACTGCTGGATTTCACATCTTCGCCATCGCCTGCATGGTGAGCGCCGCGTACGATGAGCCGATCGGTGGGCGCTTGGCCGCCATGCTGCGCCTTGCCGCCGCGTTGTGGAACCTCGTGAACGCCGCGGGCCGCTTCGCGACAGCACCTGGCGCCGCGCTGTCCCCGGTCGCGGCGCGGGCCGTGGCGGTCGCAGGGTCGGACGCCGGGCGGCATCTCTTATTCCTTCCTGGGTGGTCGGGGGCGCGGTGCCTGGCGCCGCGCGTTCTCAAATTCTTGAGCTGCGCATTGTCGCCTCCGGATTCACCTGCCCACGGGAACAAAGGCCCTCGCGCGAGTTCCTCGAGACGCTTGGCTCAGGATCGGTTCCGCCCCCACCCTCCTGCCCAAGCTGAGTCAGAAACTTGCTGTCTGTTTTGGCGTGTTGCTCCCGTTGAGCGCCGAGATGCCCAGGATTTCGCGTTGCAACCGCCTCAAAAGCCTGTGGCGTGCGTGCCGATCTCTCCAGGAGCGGCTGCGACGCCGCACTCGGCGCTGACCGCGACGCGGCGCCCTCCAGCTCCGGCCAGCCGTCGTGCACCGGGGAGACGCAGGGGGACGATGGCGGAGCGTGCAGCGCGGCAGTGGGGTCCGCAACCGGGAGCCCGCCCGGGCGGCAGACTGCGGGGAGCGTCGGGACGGCCTGCGAGGAGGAGGAGAAGAAGCGAAGGGTGAGAAGAAGCGAATCGTTGGGTGGGCAATCTCAGTGAGAAAGGGGAAGTCGTCATGCTGCGGAAACAAGCCTCCGCTTGCCTTTGTTGCTGGCTCGCAACAAATGGAGATGGGGTTGGAACGCCCTGCTGCATATGTTGGAAGACGAGTCCGCCTGTGTTTCCAGTCGTGCGAATACGCTGTTTATGCTGTTGCCAGGCGATGTCCAGAGGCACAGACTGCATTTTCCACTCCATTCTCCAAACAACCTGAATGCTGGGAATTAGTGTTTGTACCCATTGTATGTTGTGGTGCAGCCACTTCTGTGTGTTTAGCTGAACTGAAATCCCCAGTGTTCTATGTGGAGCAACAAGCCCAAGCTGTACACTGCCGTTTTTGGCTCATTGGTGTGTCAAACAGAGCAACGAAGTGTATGGGCTCATCTGGCTACTCAGGTTTCCTCAGTACTGGTTCCCACTGTTCAAGAGCTTGCCAAACTTTGTTTGTGGAATTGTTTGTGAATGTGTGCATCAGCGTCTGTGCTGTGGCGCAAATTTGTGCTTCTGTGGTACAACCCTCGATGTCCTTGTGTGAGGAGGACAGTGGATAAGCCAGCAACTGTGATGCCATCAACGATAGGGTACCCATCTTGCCTCAGAAACTGCTCGACCACCTGTTGTCCTTCTCTGTTCTGCAGCACGAAAGTCTGTTGTGAAGGTGTTGCACATGGCAATTGCATGCTCATTGCCATTTGCTGGTGGTGCTGACAGTGTAAAAACCAAAATAACAGCAAATCCAGCCCACATTTGCCCAGCTATTCCCAACGCTTCGAGCCAAGCCAGGTTTGGGTTCTTTAAGCTCTGGAAACACACAAGAGCAAAAGCCATGTTATTCCATTGCTGTCAGAATGACAGCACCACATTCCTGGGCACACAATTCCCAGTGGGGTGTGCCATGAACTGGTGTGGTAGGTTCAGCTTGCCACATCAGGGGCAGAGTTGCAGTCCCGAACTAGAGGTGTTAATCTTCACCTGCAAGTTTCCCTTCATGTTGGATTCACAAGGACTAATCCACCATTGTACCTGTATTTTACAGACACGCATCAGGAACAGAGAAAACGCACAAAATTCGCGCAGACGCAAGAAAATGATGCAGGAAGAGATCGACAAGAAGACACAGAGGCTTGAGGGGGAAAACCGGAGTCTGTGGGTACACATCGCGTCTCTCCAGGCAGAGAATGCAGCGCTCCATCACCAGCTTTCGACCCTCTGTTTCCAACTAGGGCTGCAGCCTCCACAGAGAATGACACCACCTCTGGGAATTCCTCCTCCCCCTTGGGCAGCAACGCCCAAGCTCCCCCTCCCGCCTCTGTCCCGCCCAACTGCCCCAGCGACGCTGGTACCCGCAGTGGGAGCTGTGCCAGCAGCGCCCATTGCAGCAACTGTGCAACGTGCCCCATCGCCTGAGGTTATTCAACTGGCTCACAATGCAGACTCGGGGTCTTCTGGGAGTGACCGCACTTGGCAGACATCAGCTGGATCACAAGGTACTTCCAGTGGAAGCACCCAGGGCCAGTGCGCTGTGGAGAGCGGGCTTGGAAGGGCTGAAGGGCACTGCACAGCACATGGAACCATTTCTGGCAAGACCAAGACTGGGGCAGGCCGTCAAAGGGACGATGGGCAATCCACTGGAGGACCTGCTGGGCCCCTCACCAAGAGAGTCAAAACCACTGCCGCAGCGGCGGTGCTGGCGACCCTGTGCACGATGGCAGCCTTCATCTCCCCGCTTCCACTTCGGCCTGCGGCCCTGAACGGGGCGATGCAGGCAGTGCCCAGCCTGCTGCAGTACCCTGATCACGTCGGGGCGGCCAATTCCCGATCACTAGCCGCCATTGGCCAGGATCAGATGCTGCCAGCCTTGCCGCCTTCGGGCTTGAATGGCGGCACAGGCGGTGTGGGCGAACAGGCCTCCCGTGGCCCTGCTTCTGACCCAGGCGCCTTCCTGGGCCAGCAGCCACTGATGCTGGAGGACCTGACGCGCCCCGAAGCGCAGAAGGAGCAGGCCCTTACGGAAGAGCTGGCGCTGGGCAAACTCAAGGACATGGCCCCCCTGGCGGTGATCATGAGCGAGGGCGGCGAGCGGGGCACGGGGGGCTTGGCGCCGGACCTCGGCGGATGGGCGAACTTCTCCGACCTGGCGAAGGAGACGTTCCTGTCCGCAGGTCTGCACAGCCCGGCGTCCTGCGACGAGGTGTTCAGGCTGGACGCCTCGTCGCTGCCCGACGCCCAGGCCGCCAGGCGCAAGCTGCGGGCGCACTTCGCCAGTCTGGCGCTGTTCAGAGGACGGTCCACGGGCCCCCTGGCCCTGCCGCCGATCGGAGAGTCGAGGGGCGAGGAGGGGGAGGGGGGTGGGTCGGAGAGGAGCGGGTGGAGGGATGGGGGGGCCAGGGCGGGGGAAGGGGGGACGAAGCCCGTCGTGGGGTCGGGAAACTGGAGCGAAGGGGGAGTGGTAGTGTCGGTGCTGGTGCCCGCCAGGGACAGCGTGGGCAAGTCGGGGGTGCTGTCGGCCGTGCATCAGATTTACATAGTGGTGTTGAGGCCGCTGGCGACGTACATCACGTTCGCCTGCAGCCTGCAGCAGCCCGTTTTCGTTTGATGGGGCTCCACGAACATATTTAAATCATGGGCGTGGGTTTGCTCGGGGGGCCGGGCCCTGCGTTTAATATTGAGCTGATGGGGCTGTCGGCGGGTTGTGAGCGCTTCTGAGGCGCTTTGTGCCGCCGGGTCGTTTGGCTGGGTGGCGCACGTCTGTGTATTGGGCTGGCGCCCTGAGGAAGGGTAGCCATTCGATTGCATTTGTCAAATACGGCAAAGAATTGACCACGCGTCTGCAAGTATATAACAGTCGTAGTTGGAAGCAACGAGTTTGTTTCCAACCGAGACAGCGTGCCGTCCACAAGTGCATGTACACATCACTGGGCACGTTTGCCATGGCGACAGTCGTCGTTTGCAGCAATGAGTTTACACCACTCTGAATGGCGCTGAGCCCAATAGCCAACCTCTCGCCACTCTGACAGCCAGACTGTGGCCACCTCTGATACATGCACAATCAATGCAGCAACATGCACAATCGAGACGCAGTTCAATCAGCAGCATACACAAAACATTTGTGCAATGCGCACCTGCCAACATGGTGTCAAATAAATTCGTACAACACTCAGGAGCCCATGTTGCTCTCTCACTCGCCTCAAAATTGTTCTCAGAGCGCGCTAGCTCCTGTGATCCATAAAAAGGGAACACACCTCTGCCTGCAAAAAGTGAACCCCACGTACGGTACGCAGGCAGATCCCCGTCAAGCAAAAGCCGCTTTGCACCTCTGAGGAGATGCAGTCCACGTCCCTTGCCACAAGCGCCCCAATTCCCCGATCGATCGCATACTCCTGGCCAGCTTTCAGCCTTTTCCAAGGTCGCCAATTCTGTCCATTACGCGTTTCATGGAGGTTGCAAGGTAGTTTGCATTCTGCTGCATCTTCTGCACAATCAGCACAGCAGATTTCTGGAGCCTGCAGTGAGCAACAGCCAGTTTCAGATGCAGCAGGTATCCTCCAGCTGTCGCCCACATGTGCACAACACCCATGCACAAACAACATCTGCCAATTAGAATGCCAAGAGTCCCCATCCACATTTCCATGTGCTTGTGTGATTGGCAGGATGCTGGCGGGAAATGCAATCACTTGCACAGGCAGCCTAGCATCAGCCTGGGTGGTGGCAAATGAGCAAGTCCAGTCGTTATGGCAAGGCGATCAAATGGAGACTCAACGATCACCTTGCTTGCTATCCTTGGACAGTCAAGGCAGGAATTGAGGAAGTACAGCCTGATGTGGCCAGATCGCTTCAACATTGCTGGAATCCCAGGAAAGCTGCCAAGCATGCCGCATTGACAAGATGAAAAACCCAACTGCCCTCATCATCGGTTCTCAAACACACTGGGTGGATACACAACGTGCGCACTGTCGACGTACAGGTGCAAGAGCAGCGTTTGTCATATGTTGGCAATTCAATCGAGCAGATTTTCCAGATTGGTATGGGGGCAGCTCTCAGCCGCACAATCTGCTGACAGGCAGCATTTCGGATTCTATGCTTCCTGCTGCACATTCCATATTTGGGGCTGGTGTGCAATATGTCCGAAATGGGCTGCAAATGTGGGGCATCCTAGTTAAGGGGTATAAGTCGTGCAGGAACTGTGGTAATGAACCTAGGCGATTACCTTTCAGGGAACTTCTCCCAACTGACGCCTCGAGGTGTAGACACTGCGACAGCATTCAACATCAGTTTGTGAACATGCCTCAAATTAATATCCAATGTGCTTGTTGAGGACGACAAAGGAATTTGCCATTCACTGATACCCAAGGCAACACAGCATCGTGCCAAAACTCCTGCACGCTTAAGAACACAAGGATAGCAGAAGAAAGACCCACAGAAATGGGAAACACAAACAGGCCGCAACATAGAAAAAAGACGATTTGCTCAAATCGAACTTACCAAAGCTTGGTGCCCCTCTGTTCTTTCCTTCAGCGGACTGCTCCTGTGTGGGGTTCTGTCCATCTAGCATCAACACGCGATAGTCAATGTAACCATCAAGACCTTAGCTTCCCTGTTTTGTCTCAAACTTTGCATCTCTTTTGAATGTACTCTGGCAATGCCTGTCACAACAGAAGTGGTGTGTGTATTGCTGCATCCCAGTGAACCAACGCGATGTGAAGCTCAGTGTCAGCAATCACAGGAAAGCTCTTATGTTGCTGTACATGCATGCACCTTCCATGCAATGAAGATTACCATTCCTGGGTGAAGCAGGAAGCATGATGGGACAATACGATGTGGCTGACAGATTGTGAGTTGCAGCTTCTGCGTCCCCATCTATCCTTCCCCAGATCACTGCATCAATCCATCACCTATTCCCTCCTTCAGCAGGACTGGACCACCTTGCAGATGCCGTGACGAAACTATCTGTGACATCTCAACCCAGACTATTCAGAATTGACGAATTTGGTACAAATTCCGCCACGCATCGGGTCACCTAATTTTGATCCATGCACACATGGCGAAGTAGCAATTCACTGCAGGTTCACCCCTTACAACACAAGCTCTCAGCCAAAGGGTAGTGTGGGGGGGCTGTATGTTGTGGCGAAATCGGTGTGACACCAATAGAAGCGACCTGTGATTGTACCCTGTGAAATTGTTGCTATGTGTGCAACAAATCCCAATACTGACAGTCCTGCCAATGCTGTATGATGCTCTTGCCATATATTTCCTCCCTCCGGAATTGATTGCCCTCCATTTGAGACAGATTTCATTAGAAGAACGGCCTCAAAATAACACAAGGAGTTCAAAATCGGAAAGACTGGGTCCCATGACCTTTAGCTACCAGTTCTCAAAAAGAAATTGTGAGACACGACCCCTTTAAGCATTGGACGAAAGGTAAATTTTGGTATTCGAGGTGTACTAGGTAAAAGATCCTTGCTACAAAGTACTGCCAAATCACCAATATTTGAAGGAGTGACTTGATTATTTGACTGTATACTCCAAACTCATACGCACAGCTTTGGAAGAAGCTTCACTGAAAACTGAAGCTTCCGTGATGGAGAAGCAGGGTGCCAATATCATAGAGGAAATCAACCCCAGACTGAGGAAGTAGGAGTTACTAGTCAGACAGCTCATGTGCACCAACAGCAGGATGCTTGATGCCGAAAATTGCTGAAATCCTTGTTTAATATGCATGATGTCAAAGCAGCAGGCTGTACGATGCATATGCATCCGCAAAACGCTCCCATCAAGGCTCCCCATCAGCAGAATTGCTGGCCACCGGCAGGCACAGCCCCCACTTGACCAACCAGATGCCACTGAAGATTGTGCAGTTAGGCTATGATCATCCGAATCGACACATATCATACTACGTGTACACCCCTGCTGACCAAGAATCTGTGCAAGGTGAAATTCCTTTCTTTCGAGCCGCTGCAGAGCCTGACTGCGACAGTATAGATGCAACACAGAGATGTGAAGTGGCGCCACCAAGACAAGAGCCCATCATAGGGCAATACCATCAATCACAACACCATACGAGTGGGAGACTGGGTAGCTACAGGCGCCCTGTGAACCTTTTTGGAAACGAAAGGACAGCACCTGCAGTCGCAACAGGGGAACATAGGATACCCCAGCTTCCCGTCAGGCCCCCAGCAATGAACAGCAACACAAGAAGAGGATATCATGATGGGAGGGAGCCCCTGTAAGCGCATGTTTATTCAGCATACGTGTTGCTCTGTGTTGCGCACTGTCCCGTGGAAACTTTCATGGTATGTAAAAGATCCCAACAAGCATTTTTGCTCTGGATGGGCTTGCTGATTGTGTCGCACGCCTTGCCGTTGTCACAGCAAATCTTCCAGGACAGGTCATGGCTCGCGCTCGTGACGCACCTCCAGGCCCTCGCAATAGGGCAAGTCGACGCTGCCGCCCGTGGCATCATGCCGCGAGGGCTGCTGCCTGATGCGTTGCTCGTCGTACACCGAGTACCCCACACACATGTACTGCGACGCGGCACAAACCTCCCGTTACAGAAATGGGACCGCGGCATCCGGGCAGGCGCCAGGACGCCAGACATCCGCAGGCGCCAGGACGCCGGACAACCACAGGCGCCCCGCAACACACCAATCATGTTTGGACAATCGCGCCTTGGAATATAGGGTAGTGCCGTCTCCGGTTCTGCGGCTGGCAAAATTGTCGGGCCCGGCAGTGCCAGAGCGCTCTTTCGCTCTATTTCACACCCACAGACAAGCTAACACGAGATGCGCGGCACTGGCCTTGTGTTGCTCCATGACAAATACCAGGCATATCAATTCAAACCTTGAAATCGGAGAGGTTGGACGCCTCCGCTTGCGGCTCAGCGGCGCCTTCCCCGGCCTTGTGGGTCCGGCGGAATCCGGCGCACACCTGCGCAAGAGGCGCCGGTGCGATCGGCCGACCACCAGCCACGTCTGCAGCAATCGCGACTCCATCCTCTCCACGGCAGAACCGCCTGTGGCGGTTTGAAGGAGCAACGGGGCCTCACCGGTTCCTTTCTCCCGTCCATGAGGGCCTGGCTGTAGTACAGGGCGCCCATGCAGCACTTCTGGCGACGCTGCGAGGGCCCCTGCGGTGCCTGCTTGCCCATTGGGCCCAAGGCGACGGCCAGCGCGGGTGTGCCGAGACGCGACCAGAATCCGACAGCAAGCCCCCGACAAACAGTCCCTGCCCAGCATAAAAAACAGAAAGTTAAAAAATTTCCTAAAAAATAGAAACTTTTGAGCTCTCAATTGAAAGTTGCAAAGCTTCGAATTCTACCAGAGGAGTTCACGATCCGTAAAGCAACTGAAACTTTCAGCTGAAACTTTCAAGCGTTCAATTTGAAGCTTCCCCAACCCCACCCACGCATCCCAAAAATGTCCCATGGAAAAGGAAAAAAATGGCCTTGAAATTCCCTAAAATCGCGTAAAATACATAAACACAGGCTGTGTTTGCGCCGACCCAGTGCCTTGACGCCTGCAGCCATCGCCGGAGTCTCTGGCTGGGGTATTTAAATGGCCCTTGCAGCCACGCTGCAGCTCTCAGCAACCGACCAACTTGTCGAGCAGCTTCCGATGCCGGACATTCTCAGGACGACGGACGGCCAGGTGCACCGCCGTGCTTGGACGACTGCCGGGGAACATGCTGGAGCGCCGCTGTGCGGTGCAAGTGCGCCTGCTCGTGCAGTTTGGCGTTGTGGTCGACAGAAACGCGTCCATGTTAACTGCGTTATCCAGACGCTTGGATCTATCACCGTGCAGCGATCCCGTTGTGTCGACAACAACTCAACACAGCAGCTCGCATTTTGGAATATTCTTTCCTTGACTTCGCTGCACTCTTTTTTCAAGCAAGCAAAACCGTGCATGCAAAACCAGTGCCCCGCTATGGTAGATCATGGCCGTGAGCCTCGTGCAGCAGCTCCGGTTGGACCGTCCCATGCCTGGCCATTCAGCCTCACGATCTATGGCATGCCTCCTGTGCGCAGGCGGCATCAAAAGCGCAAACACGGAAGGGGGACGGGCGGGCCTTACGGGGCACCAGGGAGGCAGAATCATGGCCATACTCACAAAGGTTCCAGAACTTCGAGAGGAATCAGGAGCGTGTTGTGGCTCTGATCCAATCAAGGAGGAACCGAATTTTCTTTGCTGCTGGCTCATGAGCCAGCAGGAAAGAGCTTTGGTTCAGGAACTTCAATTCAATCGTCAATACCCCATTCGCGCAAGCCTCTGCTGATCGGCTGATCAGCTGATCAGCGCGCATCGGTCTTGCGTGGGACGTGTGCCATTGGGCACCGTAGTATATTCAACTCCTCCTCACAGTAATGTAACGCTTGGCTTTCCTCTGCTTAGAAAACAATAAAGTAAATAAGGATATTTTAATGCAATTTTTGCGGGGCAACGTCAAAAAATATAAATAACGCTCCAAAGGAAAAACGCGGATCAAAAAGCGTAAACGTAAAATTATTGATGCGGAGGGGTTGAAAAAACTACGGTATTGAAGATTGAGTCAGGGTTCATGTGGATCCTAATCCAATTCAGTGGATAGCTGAGATCTCGTTTTCTGCCGGCCCAGGGCGCGCCGATCTTTCTTGTCCCTTGTGTGCATGGAGGGGAATGGACCTGTGGCATTGGGAGGTGGGCGATTGTGCTGCATGTGTGAAGGTGCACCAAGGACGGTGGGCAGAGTCGGTCGCGTGCCCCTTCAAGGATACAGGATTGGGAGGGACTCGGCAGGGCATTCTGCCCTGATTGATTGAAGATGTTTCGTTTTGTCCCGCCTCTTGGGTGGGGAGCTGTGCGATCGGGGTATTCAGAAGCCGTCGTCAGCGACTTCAGCGAATTGGCGATATGAGCGCAGCGGGTGGGGTGCAGATCTACATCCCGGCTCCGCACCCCAAAGCATGTGCACATTCTTCGGGGTGCCGAGCCGGGAGGCGAATGGGGAGCGTCGCTAGGTTCAGATCCGCTGCAGAGAGGCTCGGGGAATTCCGGTAGACTCGAGCGCATCGATCAGCAGGCCTGGGTACTGGGAAGGGGCTGTGGGGTGTGGGACGCAGCATTGTGGCATTGGCTCCATCCAACCCACAAACATTTTGAAGTTGCGATCTGGCACGACATGTGGGTTGCAGAATTTCGAGCATCTTCCTTCAGGGCCCAAAGCTGGGAGGACAATCGGGAGCGTCTTCTGGTTCGGGTCTGCTGGAAAAAAAGGAGAGTTTTTTCAACCTTTGGCTGTTGGCACTGGCAAGGGGCAGTGAGAAGATCCTACAATAGAGGCCATGCGGGGCTCGATGACTTGACGAGGAGTTGCTTGGATTTGTGCTATGGCAGTGCCGGCCACGCAAATAACAGCGTTGCAAAGATTCCCTTTTCTTTCTCTGGTTCCTGTGCAGCAGTCGTGGCACCGACACAGATATTGAGGATGGAGCAGACTAAATTACAGTAGAGGGGTGTTTGGAATAACGAATCGTGGTCGACTTCATCTATGCCTCCTTTAAACTTCATATTCACGGTGTGGGGGTCGTTCAGGAACTGATTTGATGGGAAAGTGAGAACGATATACGATATGTGGTTTGGCATACAAAAGTCGGACATTGTAGCAGAATTTTGTGGTGCTTGGTTCCGCGCTCCGAGTGCCGCAAGGCCGCGTTCCGAACCGCCTGGCAAATCGCAGGCCCCCAGCGCTGAAGACGTGGCTCTGTGAGGCCGCGCGGCAGGGGATGGCTGCTCGCAAGCGTCTGGCCGCGGGCCCCGAAGGCGGGGCATCTCCACACGCTGGTGCCTGACTACGGCGCGCGGTGAGGGGTCAGCACGCCCCGCGAGGGCTGTGCGATTGCGGGCGGAGGACCCCGTGCGCCGATGAGGGTGTTGGCGGAAATAATATTACTGCCTGCAACAAATCGGTGACTGCTTGCACCAAGTCACGTGCACACTTTGTCCTAACCTCGATTTTAGGGTTAGGTTTAGTTTCAGGGTGAGTTTTAGGGTTAGGGTTAGGGTCAGGGTTAGGACAGGTTTAGCTTTAGGTTTTAGGCTTTAGGTTTTAGGTTAGGTTAGTTTGGACGGAGTTGGACACGATGTGCACGTGACTTGGTGCAAGCAGTCACCGATTTGGTGCAGCCAGTAATTTTATGCCCGCCGATGAGGGTGCTGGCGCGACGTGGGTTGACGGGAGGCGAAATAGAGGGCGCATTGCATGGCGCTTCAAAGGTATCGCGAACCGTGGACGGGACGGCGCCAGGCGGAAGTACTGCGGGTTCCGGCAGCCAGCACGGGCTGCGAACGAAGGCCGAAAGGGGGCAATTTGCGGTCGCCGCTTCTCTGGCTGACTCCAGTGGCGAATCGCCCGTCATTCTGCGCGGGGTGGGGCACTGGTTTAAACAGTGTGTATCTGAGAATCGCTGCTGTCCTGCTATGACTGACGCCAACCAGGCTGTTGCCAATTGGCTGCAATGACTTTCCGGCGCGAGAATTACTCATGTGGGCTTAAAACCGACTTCAAATTCAATCCTGTCTCAGCTGCAAACGCGTTGGATCAAAAACTATGTGTCATGTGTTGTACAAGTGACATACGTTGTATGTTGCACATCATTAATCCGTGTTAGCGGACGCCATATGCGAATATGTGATGATAGGAGAAGCACAACTTTGACAATGGGAAACGCAATGGTCTTTCATTCTGGTGCCGCTGGTGCTGTGGCTAACCGCTCTGCGCCCGCAAATTGATGAAATAATCGCATTTACGTTTCCGTGGGCATATCGATAACGTGTATGATGTCATTGGGTTGGCATCCTGGAGGGCACCACGATCCATGGCATCATCGCCTCCATATGAACAGTACATAAAAAAGTGCGGTGACATTACTGACACCAAAGCGATAGCATCACGGGCCACATCAAGCCGAGACTAAACGTGAAGCCATAACGCTGTGCGAAATGTCATCGTGTTGTCAAGGTCGCCGCATTGATTTCTTTGGCGCTGCCAAAGTGGCGTTTGTGTTGACAACACAAAGCACTGCGGAAGCGAGGTTTGCCTTGAGCGACAAAGTACGTCGCTGAAGGCAAAACTCGCTTCCGCATGGCATCCAATAATACTGCACACAGCAAGCAGAACATAGCCGAATTCGGACAATATATCTCTCTGAAACGGCGCTTTCGTCTTATAAAGTAGATGCCCTCAATCGTTCGAACCATCCGCCAGCCTTCCTGCATAATTCTTTGGTGTTTTTGGCAAAGGCGAAAGAGCAAAACAGGGAATCCGAGCCAAGAGTCCAAGAGATCCGTTGGCCCACGTTCAGACACAGCCTGTGGGGCACAGGATGAAAGCTGCCATGGAACGGCACAGCCAAAAACGTATTCAAATGCCCAGAGTGCCAGGCGCATCCACAGCACCCAGTTACGCCTCCCTTACCACAAAGCTCATTGGCTTATTGCTATCCACATTTCCAATTTCCAGTAATTCAAAGTCTACAAGGAACTTAACTCCCTTGCCATCTTCGACAATTCCCACGAAGTTGATGGGAGTGCCTTGGTCGCGCAGCCACTGCTTTCAGCATACTGAGGTGGCTTTCCATCACTCGCAAGTCCCCGTTACCCTCTGCATCTCCCACCTGGCCAAAGAGGGCAACACTGTCTTACCAATAATGCGACAGAAGAGCAGGACAAGGATAATCACCAGACATGCTCTTTAATTGTCATTGTGACAGCTGCTGAATAGTGCATTCCAAAATGTGAGGACCATATTGTATACAACAAATAGATGAGCAGTACCTGGAGCAAGCCTGGTTGCGTCACTGCTTCCAGTGGAAGTGGCGTGCAGCTGCTGCAGACACTCAGCTCTCTGATGGAAGCTAAATCTGTCCATGGCAAAATACTTGGGATAACAGTGCGTTGAGAAGCGGCACAACATCTTGAAGTTTCGGTGTTATCGCAACGTTTCAGTGTCAACAGTTAACGCCACTTCTCGTGCAAAAACTCCTTGGTGAACCCCTCTGATGCACAGGGGCAAGTGCAGGGCATCTGCACATGCAGCAGCCTCAACATGGAATTCTTGCTGAAAAAAATTGAGAAGCACAATTCGTGCAGAGGATGCTGGTTTCCTACAATTTGGAAAGGTGCTCACGAGCTGGATTCGATGCTGGGTACTTAATGCACTTTACCTGGGCCATTCTGTCGAATGAGGGACGGTGGGCTTGGCGAGTTAGGGATGGTGTGATTATGGACCTGTGACAGCTTCAGAATGTCGCGAATCAGCAAACGCCTGGTGGCAGTTGTGAGACCGAGGGGTGGTGATTGTGAACTTGGCGATGGAACAAGTGGTGGTAGCTGGTCCTCAGACCTGATGCAATCAGGGTATTTAAAAGGAGTCTGCATCTATTCTGGGTTTCTCTTGCATTTCCGTGTAAGACCAGCTGCTTTCTGTTTCTGTTGGACCAAGCACGTCGAAGTGCCCATGAGCATCGGGTCCACCAAGGTTGCCATAGCTTGCCATCGTTTGGCTCGGTATGAAGGAACAGCACGATGTGCTGTAAGTTTTGTTGCATGCCTGTGAGCTTCAACTATTGGAGGTGTTCGAGCTCTTTAGTTGCCAAGCACGAAGCCTCAAATGCCAGCTGAAAATCTGACTAGCTAATAGTCAGAGAGCATATGCAGTGCGGTTTTGCAGTTTAACATTGGCTTCGCCAAATGCAGTCCCTCTTTTGGACGATCACTTTGGTGGATTTCGCTCTGTTCCACCTGGTCCATCTTCTTCTGAAAGCGTAGCAATTAAACGGGAAAAGTGAACAACACATCCTTGGCAATGGACTGCATGTTTACTCTGATAGAAATAAAGGTGTGAACAGTATCTGCCAAAACCAGCCGCAGTGCATGTGCAGGTGTGCATTAGCTGGCCAAGATGTGGCTACATAGTGGATCCCAAACATTTGCTCACTGTCTTGCTCACGCATGTCCCAATCGCCCATAAAGCAGGGGATCAAGTTTCTGTGGTCACAGTAATGTTTGCAACCGCAGTCCTTCACATCCATCGAGACAATTATCCAGATCGATATGCACAGTTTTTTTCACGGCCGCATGTGCCATTCCATTCTTGTGGTTTCCTCGTCTCTTACCGCCAGCCCATCTTCACCTTGAACCCAAGGTTCGTTTCTCCTTCGGCGCTCTCTTCCCCTTAGGTGTACCACGAACACTATCCACGCCAAGCCCTTTTTTCCCCCTGATGGGCGTGGAGGATGCCCGCTTTCGCTTCTTCTGGGGTGTTGGCGTCTTTGCAATCCTCTCCAACTTTTCCTGGACCTTGGGTTCCATGCTGTAGTTGCTGGGTTTGTCACCCAAGTCGCCCTCTTGCACCCACGTGTCCTCATCAGAACCGTACCCCTTTCGAATTAACACAAGCAGACTTTTGGCTCAGTTCAGTCTCAAATTCAATGCACTGACATAATCTGCAGTTGCGGTGTGCAAAAGCTACAGTCCAAATGTTAGGTGCCACAGCCCCCAGCGAAATGAAACCATTGTCTACTGCTAAAGTACAAAGGAAGCTGTGATACTGAGACTGTACCACAAAAGAATGCTAGATATGAAAGATGGTGGTAAAAACGCCCATGCAACCCCTTAAACTGTCAAAGGGCTTTGATTGGCCATGAGAGTACCCCTTGAAAGCCCGCATCACCGTATCACCTTGAAAGCCCGCATCACCGTATCACCGTATCATCGTACCACAGTATCACCGTATCACAGTATCACCCTATCACCGTATCGTAGTCTGCATATTAATGGCAGGAAAAGGAACTGCATGTCAATGGAAGGATGAAAAGAGACAAAGCATGTCGTCGTAATGAACACCTCCAGGACGCCTCCAGGTTCCACAGCAGAACTGAACACAAGTGTTGGACAAACTTGTACACTGCATAGTCTTGTTTGAACAATCTTGAGCTGAGAATGCAGCAAATTCTCGATTTTACGCACTCCGTGCTAAACACAAGGAGGATCACCCCAGGTTGGGTGTCTGTTGACAGGCGCTGCCTGTTGCCTACCTTCCATCGAACTTTGAACGACAACCTCTTGCCACTTTTGGTTGGAGACGTTTTCATGTCAACAATGCGCTCTACCTCATAGAACTCATCATCATCGCCATCTTCCCCTGTCCAGCAGGATAATCCACCTTTTCACTACAATCGCTCCCTCAGTCCCATCTGTACAACACTCTCCCAGGTGCAGGGAACAGGCAACCAAAGATGCAAGCACAATGAATCCCAAACATGTACACACAATGGGCACGAGTCAAGACATCAACCATTTCCTATTTCTTCAAATGAATTATTCATCAATGTGTTTGTCTCCTGCATATTCCCACATAAGCAGCATGCACTATTTCTGCAGCAGGACACTGGCCGTTGGACCAAATCAACACTGTGACCTGCACTGCCCTAGATGAGCAATGGCTGCAGCAAAGTGGGTGTCGGTTTGCTTCCCAACACAAGTGCTGTCAACACGGACATCGAGCCAATCCAGCTGCACACAAGAAGGGCAAGGCAGATTTGTGACCTTCGTTCTTTTGGTTTGTTGTTACATGGCAGCACAATGAAGCATACAAAACGTGCAGTGAATCAGTCCCACCTCCATCAGCATCAGTCACAGCAGCAGCTGCCACCAAACTTGGTCCGACCTCCACTCGGTTGTTTTCGGCCTCATCATCCACATCCATTTCTTCTGGCTCGCTCCCTGTTTGTGAGTTCCGTTCACTGCACAGCTCCTCCACTCTGGCATACAGTTAGCACTGCAACGGTTACCAACCACTCATCGCTATTTATAAGAACACGGCAGTACACAGACATCGCATCCAACAAGCACCTACTTCCTCTGTCCAGAATTTACTGTCCTCATTTTGAGACAAATTTCATCACAAGAACGGCCTCAAAATCAGAAAAGGAGTTTGAAATCGGAACGAATGGGTCTCCTAACCCAAAAAACAACCACTCTTCAAGGCGTTGGGCGACAGGCGAATTGTGGTCATTTTCGACCCAAAAATCGAGGTTTAGTAGGTAAAAGACCCTTGATACAAAGTGCTGCCAATCCTCAATACTTAATGGACTGGCTTGTGTTTTGGGCTGTATACTCCAAAAGTCATAGGCACAGCTTTGGCAAAAGTTTAATTGAAAGCCAAAGCTTCCATGATGGAGAAGCAGGTCGCCAAATCAAAGAGGACAATTAATTCTGGACAGAGGAAGTACTGCTATTAGAATTAGTGCTGTTGTTGCCATTGTTGTTGTTCATCCTGAATCTGCAGTTCAAGCCATTATTCTGGCTATTGTCTTGGATGCCGATTTCAGTAAAGGAGTTGCAACTGCAAACCCATAATTAACATTAAGCCAACTACAAGGGAACACAGTCTCAAGCCACCATGGAGAGACGGCATATACTTTCTTCTCACATGGCACAACAGGTGCAAGGCAGGACTATGCCACATTTCAACACATGCATGCAAATCGAATTCTGCAGTGGAACTTTTAGCAATAATGCATCAACCACAATTTTCAAGCAAAACAAAAGTCAAACAACAGACGCTGAATGTGATACTTAAATAAGCATCAAGAAGGCAAGAAACACATGCAACTCCTCGCACCGCTTCCACTTGGAGTTCTGCTTTGCTCTTTCAGTGGCATGTGTGCATCCCTTGCGAGCTCCGATGTGGGGCATTCCTACTGCTGCTGCCACGTCTGCTGTCATCTTGTATTCTGAAACTGGCCGTTCCAAGTTGCAATCAGGCACCCAAATGTCCTGCTCAGGCCCCATCCCTTCCCACCTCACCAAGTACAGCACTGTGCCGTCAGCCACCTCTTTGCGGCTGAGCAGCATTTCCACTGCAACCAGCTCAGGGGGTTCTGCGCACTCACACAAATACTGTATACTGAGCTGTATATCAAAACAACGTCACACATTCTGCAGTGTACTGGAGGTATGGTATTGTGTAATAGTATTCGAGTGCTAAACAAGTATCGGGCATGCACCTGCAAAGCTGAGGTTGATGGGTGCCACAGATTCGCATGCACAAGGAAAGTGTTCGTTAAATGTTATGGTGGGTGCGATCACACTGATTTCCTCTGATGATGGCTGTCACCTTGGCATGCACTGACAGTACTTTGTTGAACACTCAGCAAATTGAAATGAGTTTCTGCAGGGAGCCTGAACAATAACCATGAACACTTGTACATATGGCATGAACGCCAGCTGATGGGCAACAAACCACCCAAATTGATGTGATTTAAAGTACAGCGTTCCTAATAATATTGCCTGTGAAGCAGCACAAAGCAGTCACACGTCGCATCACTGATTTGCCATCACATAATAATACCACATAGAATACCCCACAGAGCTACTTGTGCACAGGCACATCTGGTGCTTCAGCTATCGTCAGCCACAAAAAATTCCCTGCAAACAAAGAAAGCGACAGGGCAACAGCTTGTCAGACTTTACCAAACTAAAGAGATGCAATCATTCTGACAGGGCCTACAAATCAGGTGTCACTGCAAATGTCATGAAGATCGTCAGGCTGTCAGTCGATCAGGTGGGCAATGGAATTAGATCTGGAGACATTGCATAAACACAGTTTCGATTTTTTGAGACTGCCATAGCCTGCAAGGTGCAAGTGTATTTTTGCCATGTGATCTTTCTGCCAGCCATAATCCACAGAACCTCATAACAGCTGCCGATCAGCCTGCCAATTGGGCACAGCATCATGCTCACTTGCTGTGTAGTCCTCCTGGTACAGGCTGTCCATAGCAGATGCCAAACAAACACCCTGAGGTCATCCAGGCGATAGCATGGTGCTCACCTGCTGCCTTTTCTACTTCATCCCTGACTTCTGGTACACAGGGAGGAGCTGGGGCATCCACATCCATGCCATCTGAAGCAGCGGTCGTCGCAGCCAGCATGTCGTCCACTGTCAACTCAGCAGCGGCTACTTCCACACTTGCATTTTCCGTGCAGCCCGATTCTGGCAGAGGGACAGAGACAGCAATTGAGGGAAACGATCCGTCTTCACACTATTAACAGAAGCTGCAATCATGGGGCCAAGGTGTGGTAGGACAAGCAGAGAGGCAGATGCAAGTGGGCAGCACAATGCAGCTGGGGAATGGCAGATGATGACTGATGGAAGACAGGAGAAGACAGGCAACATTGGATGAATAACATTGGATGAATAGGAAAACAGACTGCACCAGTGATAGCGAAAGGCAAGCTGAGAGAGACACAGGAGGAAGCAAGCATTATCCCAGGATCACTACCAGCAGCACGCAGTCGGAAAGGACACTTTGTTGATACAACCATGCGATGAGTTGGGCGCTGGTAGAGTCTCACTCTGCAGGGGCTTGTGAGCAATGGCAACCACAATTACTGAGTGTCTGCAATGGCGGCATCATGAATGAAGCCCATGTTCTGTGTCAAACACTGCTTCACTGTCCACAGACTTATGGTTGTTTTTGCTGTTAGAGCTTGCTTGATCGCTTCTTGACAAAACCGCGAATCTACTACGTTCCATAAAGCTCCCCACAATTCTAATACATTGGGGTGGAGGGTCACAGGAAATGTGACTCACTGCTGGAAACAAAACCTTCAAAGCAGGTTGTGGTGGCACAGGTCGTTACCTGCCCTCCCAGCCTTCCCTTGTTCTTCGTGCTTGGTGTCGGCTAAATCACATGGTGCATCTTGCACTTCCTGCATGATATTTGCTTCATCGCACTGTGCATCGGCTGGTAATTTGTTGCTAACATCGCAGGGGGCCTGGGGCTCCTCCTGATGGCTGGCATCTGCTGGTGGCAAGTCAGCATCTTCGGCGTGGTCCTTTTGGCTTTTGGGGGAGGATGCAGCATTGGAAGGGGCTGCTCTCTGCCCTTCTGCCATGGGTTTGGCAGCATTTCCTGATGCTTCCTCCTGCAGCTGAGCCAGGAGACTGCAAGAACAACCAGACATGGGGGACATTACACATCGTTGACTGTATGCCTACAGACTACACCGCAAGGCTCTTCAATGTGCAGATGTCCTGTTCTCAGACAAATGTGACTAAGCTGGAAATCGATGCGCACAGCGTATGGTGATCTCAAGTGATGCAGGCACAAATTACTCAGTGAAGCAGGAAAGAGATGTTTATGGAATCTGTGTCATACCCTGCACTTGGTCAGGATGTTTAGCTTGCCAGTGCCATCTTTGCCATCTTTAGGTGCAAAGCTGGGCTCCAATACTGATATAGTACAAATGGTTGCTATGAGAAGCGACCATTTTGAGCTATCTTTAAATACTGTGGCACCATTGACAACATGGGAATGTAGCTGGCCTACTTGTGCCGCAACAGAAATGGAAGGTGCATGCAGCCTCAATCTGTTGTGCAGCAACACATGGTAACTTCCAATTTGTGTCTTTGGACGCAAATACTCATAGACTGACAACTTCAAGAGCAAATGGGTGCACAGATTGGCCCATGCTGCCTTGCGCAGGTAAGTGGCCACCGTTCTGTCCATTGAAGAGAAGTGTGAAGTCGATGCATTTGGCATCGCATGGCCAGGAGCCTCTGGGAGAGTCATTTGTTGCTGTTGCAGAAATTGTTCAGGTGAGGTAGGCAGAACAGAAACCCTCAATGGCTAAGGAGCAGATGCAACACAAATTTCTCTTCTGTACCTAAATTTGCGTTCAGAAGTCAGAGCGGGTCTTTGCACCTTGCAGGAGATTACTGCCAATGCATTCATTAAAAAATATTTTCTTGCCCCTCGTCATTTTTTATCTGCTCACCACCCATCTGCAACGCATACAGATTGTGGTCGAAAAAATCCAAGAACTGCCCATATTCATGAAATGAAAACTCCTTTCCGAATGTGGTAGTCATGTTATAGATATTCTCCTTGAGAACCAAACTTGCTTTCAATGCATGCCAACAACAGTGGAAGGCATGTCCATCATTAGACTTGCAGGACCCAGGGTGGTGCTTTCTCTTTTGTTAGCAAACATGATGGCAATGATGTGGCATTGGTAGATGCGCAAAGGAAGACTACAGCACTGGCCCTTCATCTCTTTGCCATACATTGCATTGGAATACAGACTGTGGACTACACTGACTTGTATCCTTAACTTCCGCCTGCAGCAACATGAACTTAAGCTAGACACCAAATCATTGACTCCCAATACATCAAAGAGAACAGTACTGCCCTCTAGCATGACTGGCCACTCAACCTTGCACTGTCCCTGAACCCCAACGATCCAAGCAAGGGGCCAACATGAAATGTGGAATATGCAGCAAATGTAGGCAGGCCTAATCATTCCTCTGGCATCGCGTTGCAGGCAAGAAGGCAGCGCTCTGTGAAGTATAGGCAGCTAAAATGTATGAGCAGTTGCACGTGCACTCCCTCTCAAGAGGATGGCTCCCTACACACCTGCTCTCCATCTTGAATGACATAGGATCCTCCCCTAGGTCTGCATCTTCGACCCATTGGTCCTCATCAGGCCCACAGCCCCTCCATCTAACCTTGAACTTCCGCACTCCCTTCCTCACCCTCATTGCCAGAAGCTTCTCCACAGCGTAATAGTCACCCTCATCATCTGTGGAACCTGCAACTCCACACACACAGTGCATCGGAATAGCACAACACGCTGAAAAATTGCATCTCCCCCATGGGTGAGATTTTTGAAACTGTTTTCGGCTGTGTGGATAAGCGATGACAAGGCCTCCAAGTGTATTGAATGGAGCCCACAAGTAGGGCCGCAAAGGGGCAAAGATGATTTTAACAACTTGAGACCACTCGTCACAATGTGCAGGCCAACATCACGGTACACAGCCAACCTCCCAGTACTGTTTACATAGAAAACAAAAGTGCACAGCAGGAGGGGAACGCATGCATCGCATTGCTACCCTTTCCCTTTAGTTTCCATCTGCCAGAAGCGTTGGCCAAGGTGCGCCCCATACAGAAGGTTCAGAGCCCATCCAGAAATGAAAATATTAATTGCAACAGCGAATACAAGAAAATGTGACGCTCAGGTGGGCCGTGCAAGTGTAGACCAGAAGTCCAGTCCAGCATGTGGCCCATTACGTTTTCTCTCTTCCCTCCCCCCCCCCCCCCCCCCCCCCCCACCCCCGCTCCAGCCTCCCACAAATGCATGTTCTTCACGGTGCATTTGTTGTGTAGTTCTCTCCGTTGGGAGGCTCTGTGTCATCTTTGTAAGCATGGAAAAGGAGTCTCAGACTTGCCTCCTTAGGAGGGTGTGCCCTTCGAATGGCATGTTTCCATTCCTTTTGTTACAAAGTTTCCCCCACCCAGTCCTCTTTTAATTCACGTTTTCCCCTTATTCGAGCTGCTCTTCCATCCCTGTCGCACTCAAACATTGCCGCGTTGTCTTCCAGGACAAGGAGAATTCATCGCCACAATCCTTGGCCCAGGGGGGGCACTCGCCACATGGCATGCTTCGTTCTGCCTGGCAAGAAATTTCTCGGCGGAACGCGCCCGGCTGACCACCCTCGAGCATGGTTCCCCGAATAACTTCTGCATTAGCAGGCAAGCAACACATTCCATTGCGATGCCACCCCCCAGCCAATCCAACTCACCGCTCGCATCCGGCCGAGCGGCGTCCATGCCAGCGCCCGTCACGCAGCCCGCGACTTGGTCAAGATCAGCCTGCAGATGCCGGGCACCAGTCGTCACACGCACAAACGCCCTGCCATGCCCCCATTCCAACCCCCGCAGGACGCGGAGCCAAAAGGGGTTTGCCACGAAAGCAGGTTGATGCCGCCATTTTGATCCCCGGCATGGCCACTGTCGCGGGGCGTTGGTGGTCGCGAGTGGTGGGGGTATTGCGGGGTTGCGCGGTCCCCACCTGGATTTCCGCCCGGGTCAGATTGTGGGTTAAGGACACCAGCGGAACGGCGGGCGCCTTCTGGTTCCTCCCCATCTCGATGCGCGGAGCTAGTTTTATGGCGAGGGCGGGGGGGCAAGGCCTGATAGGGCAGGCTGACTAATATCTGTCAGGTGTTGAGGGATTGGCGCAGTGTCGGCGAGGCCACTTTGCGAAACAGACGACCCTGTTCAGCAGGCGTGCGCCTGGCTCACAACGACGCTAAAGATTTGTAGCCCCTTGAACTGTCTCTAATACTGTAGGAATACTTGTTAGCAAAGGTGCGCCGACTACTAACGGGAGCAACGAGTGATGTGCTAGGCCCTCCCGATTATCACAGAGCAGGGGGTGTCCTCATCAAACAAGGGTTGTGTGCACCCTTACTCAGGGAAGCAAATCAGGGTAACAAATAACAAATAATAAATAACAAATCAGGGATCCCTGTCATTCTTTTTCACTGCTGTCCGCGTTACACGCTGCCTCCATTCAGGCGACTGTTGCCGAACAGTGCAATTGAACATGAATACATACCAGGGCGTATAGGTCCTTGACACGCGCCAACAGATGAGATCGCGGAAACAACAATCGCTTGCTACTGGGCACAAGCGTTAATGCAGTTGCCTTGACAATCCGC